TATATATATATATTAATGTTTTAAACTTTTAAATTTCCAAAGCTGTCAAAACATCCTTTTTATATCTGTGCAGCATAAATTTCTTGGATGCTTTATTCTCTCATCTGGCAGAATCTTTTGAAGAAACAGGTGGAGACGAGAACAGCAGATGGCAGAAGAAGAATCACACCGCTCTGCATTGCTCAGCTGGACACGGGGTAGGAAGGCATGAAACACACTCCGGTGAACAAGATGGCTGATCTCACAAAAATAGCTGGTAGATCATGTTTGGACTCCAAAGATGGCGGCTGGACTGATTACAGGTTTCTTCTGTGCCATCAAAGCTACAGCAACACAATAAGAGAAGAGCTTGAAGTGTCAAATCTTTGGTTTTGAGTCCACACAAGTTCAAAGACTCCTCTCAGTCTGAACCGGATCTAGATTTAATTAACAGTTGAAACAGGGGGCTATTGTTGCGTGTTTTAACAACATAGAAGCCACGTGGTGCAAACTGAAGATGATTCTGGTCCACAGAGCTAATGCAATGTAGAAAAAGTGATGGTTAAAGTTAGTTATTGTTGTATAAAAGTAATAATAATGTTAACCAGATGAAGAGTAGAAGATCACAGGCCCTTTTCTCTCTGCAGGGATTTCTCTCCGGCTTTGTTCAACAGTGTTCCCATCCTGCCCTCGGGCTCATCCATGTCCAGCCAGCTCACCCCCCAGCTCAGCTCCGACTCCAGCCCAGGACAGGCCTCTTCTATGGTGCTTAAGCCCACACACGACCCCATGCTTACCTCACCTCCTCCCAACAACACTGCTAAGCCAATGGAGGACAACAATGATGGGTATGGAGATCACAGATAGGGAATTTTTGCTGTTGTTTTCTGTTTTACCCTCTCTGTGTTGTCTTTTTCATACTTTAAATTCCCAAACCTCCCACTTCCTCTTCCCAGTCGTTTACATGGCGCTTGGTTTTCTCATTCCCGCCTTCACTTGTCTTTCTCATTATCTTCGTCCTAGTGTCAAATCCAGTCTGCTGCTCACCTCTGCCTCCAAGATTGAGCCAATGAAAGCTTTGGACTCCAGGTTTACAGAGAGGTCAAAGGCCACACCAGGCGTGACAGCTGCCATTTCGTCCACAGCTGGACTCACACCGTTAGACAGGTGAGTAACTGTGCAAGTGAAGAACATCAAACACAAAAACAGAACACAGAGACATATCTGATGTCCTGTTCTAGCAACAGGCCGAAAGACGGCGTCACCGCCCAGAAGGAGGCAAAAACCAAAGAAGAGACCAGCAGTGACAGCGAGGATAAGATGGCTGCCATCAACAAGAACCTGACATTTGGCAAGAGGAAACCAGAGCTGCTGCTGGATGGAAGAGAGGTGCTGGAGAAGAGGAAGAAGGGACGGCCCAGGAAAGACAAGATGGCTGCTTCCATGGCCCAACCTTTCACTCAGGTAGAGGGACATGTGGATGATCTGAAGCCTGAAAATCTGTTATTTTAAGCTCTTTGGGTGCAGCTAAAATAGGTTAACCAAGTGTGCTTTTCTACTTATCTCGTCATAACAGATAACTCCTCCCGCGGAACAGGAGCCCAGCAGGGTTGTAGCTCCTCCAGCTCCTGTCGCTGTTCTCAAACTACCAACACCAAGTACACAGAAAGCCTTCAGTCTGCAGGTAACACACCGTCTGTCATCTCTTTGGTTTGGACTTTAAGTGTTTAGTGTGTTTATCCAGCTGGAAGATGTATTGTACTTTTATAACCACCTTAATTGACAGTTTTTCACCTCGAATTATATCTGTTTGCATCCCCCGTCTGATCTCTCACAAGCTCTACGGTTTGGGTCTTTCTTTTTATTTCTTTGCTAAGTTTGTTCTCTTGTTCTTCTAGCTAAGGTCGTCCTTGTTCTCTGCCTGCTTTTTTTTTTTGTCTTTTTCTTCTTTTTAGTGTTTCCACTGTGTGGCTACTCATTTTGTAGCTTTTTCTTCTTAAGCCCACGTCTCAGAGGTAGAAATTCTTATTTTAGTTCAAGCCTGTTTGTTTGTTTGTTTTGTTTATATCTATTAATAAATAGCCATCAGCACTTTAGAAAGCCTTCTCTGGCTTCCTCCTTGGACACTTATCGTTTCAGTTTCTTCAGTTAGAAATTCTCCCTTTTCTGTTTGAGCAGTGTCGTCTTCTCCCTTGTCTTGAAACATCAGCTTTGGTGGATTTGTAATTGATGAAGGCGATGCTCCATACATTATCGAGAGTGTTTGTTGTGCAGCTTATGCTTCTTCCTGCTCGTTTTTGAACATGAAAGTTGTTGTTGTTGTTATTTTGTTTTTGTATTTGTGGTCGCTTGTTTTCCTTTGTTTCTCTTTTGATTTCTATGTTGTTGTACTTTTTTAACATGTTCAAAATAAAGATTAAATTCAAATTCAATTCAGGTGAGCATGGAGCCCTCAGTGTTCCTGGAGGTGGAGAATGAGGTGTCCATGGTTGCAGGTTCGAAACTCAGCCAGCTGCGATGCTCCAGAGACGGACGAGACTGGAACACGCTCCTGCCCAGCTCTGTGGTCGTTGCTGCAGGCAGCAGGTAGGAGGCGCTGCTGAGTTCTCATACAGACAGAATCTCTGTTTATACTTGAATTGATTTACTTTCACTTTTTGATGTGACTTGGGAAAAAAACTAGTAGCTTCAGAACTTAAAAGGTCAGGGACTAAAGCTAAAATAGACATTTAAGTAAAGTAATGCAGATTCATTGCCGAAATTACATGCAGAATATTTTTTATGTGTGCAGTCATCCTCTAAAATCCCAGTTGGAGGAGGGAAAGCCTTCGAGGTATCACTGAAAAGGGGAGGATATTCCCACACAGTGCTACTGATTTTAATTTAGGCCACACTGTTATGAAATGAAAACATCAGCAGGTCTACCAAAGACAGAAAATGTAAAAAAAAAAATGAATTAACAGCACAAAATCTGGTCTTCCTAATTCTCCTCCACTCCCTCAGTGACATCCTTGCAGTCGCCTGTGAGGACAGGATGTTGTCAGTCTTCTCTTCCTGTGGGCGGCGACTCCTTCCTGCCATTCAGCTAGGCACGCCTGCGTCTGCCTTACACTGCTCTGCCCACTACGTCATGGTTCTGACCGCTGGAGCGACTTTGTCCGTGTGGTCAGTGTTCAGCTGCTCTGTTTGATTTGAATTGCTTGGGAGCTTTTGTTGCATTTTTTATCTTTGATCTCTGAGGTAAAACTAGTTTTACAGAGATGCCTACGCATTTAGAAAGTGCATTAATTTACGCTGGTAGTATTTAATGAATATTTGTCTTTATTCTAAAATCTTTGCTCTTTGTAATAATTCATTTTTTGTTTCTGCAGGGATGTTCAGAAACAGAAGGCTCTGGTCAAGAACGAGTCTCTGCTGACTGTTTTGTCTGGTGAGTCATCGCTACAGCTGATATCTACTCACATCAAAACAAGCTTGACCGATAAAACAGCAGAGAGATGTAGTGAGGTGCACAGTGTAGCGAGACTAATGTGTTAATGGGTATATTTAGAGTTAAAGCTGCTTATCTAACGCTAAACTGACTAATGCTGAACACATAACCTGCTCCAGAGAAGTCATATTCAGAGTTTTGTTTAGAATGTATACTTTCATTGATATTTATTTTAAATGTGCAGTCTGTTGAGCTGTGCCTTACTGACGAAATTTGCATGCACCCAGTTGGTTATGAGGAAAACAAATATTATGCTTGATTCTAATCTGCTGCCAATTCTGTTTTACACTGCTGGCCTTGCAGCTAGTGGAACAAAAGTATTTAAAAATGAGTTCATTAGTAGGCCATTTTACACTGAGAATATAAAATCAGTAGCGTTTCACCAAAAGCTGAAAGTATTAGCCCATGACCACCATGAAGCTGTGGGACAGAGGCAGACCCACCTGTTATCTCTCACTGGGGTTTTTAGGGTTTGTAGCGCCGGCTAACAGAGGGAACGTGTGGTTATGCCCAACTTGCTTCACTGCACTCTCCAGGCCAGATTTGATTTGATTATATAATGACTCAGGTGATTATTAATAAGTGAATCGAGCCGTGTTATTCTCCATGAAAACTACTTTGTTTGTGTCTTCAGGTGCTGACACTACAGTGTCCCAGTCTCTGCTGACTCAGCAGGGAGTTCCAGTCATTGGACTGTCCAACGGGAAGTCGTACTGCTTCAGCTCCTCTCTGGAGACATGGTGAGAAACACTGCAGAAGTACTCACTGTACTCACAGATGAATAATGAACCAATGGATTTGACAGCTGTGATTAAACCATCTCTCTCAGGACTCTGATAGCAGATAAAAGTGACTCTCTGGTTCAGTGTGCTGACTTCAGGAGCTGCCTGCCTAGCCACGATACACCGGTGTCCTCTGGGCCTCTGGCTGTCATGCAGGGACGCAACCTCAAGTATGTCTTTAATATTAATCTGCACTTCTCATCTTCAGTAATATAAAATGTAATAAAGAAAGTCAATAAAAAAGTCTCGGTGCTCCCCGCAGTGCCGGTCGGCTAGCTTCCCGCCTCTCCTCCACCCCTCACCACCTGCAGCAGAGCATGACGCTGGCCTTCCTGGAGAATCAGCTGGCGTCTGCTTTGACTCTGCAGTCAGCACAGGAGTATCGCTACTGGCTGCTCATCTATGCCCGTTTTCTCGTCAATGAAGGTACCAAACTTTCAGCTGAAGGGACAAACATCAGTTTTGAGTATTGCAGATGTGTTCTGATAGAAAATGAGAAATGGTGGAAACTAAAACAACCTAGGTGCTTTCAGAAAATTTTGACTCAATTGTCTGATTGAACAGGCGGCAACTGTAGAAAAGCTAGCTTGCACAGTGTCATATGTAGTACACAAGCCTTATATAAACAACTCTTATATTTCATATATTTTTCTGTTTTTCCTTCCAGGCTCAGAGTATCGCCTCAGAGAACTCTGCAAGGAGCTCCTGGGTCCTGTCCACAAATCAGCGGCTACATCCTGGGAGCCCACCACACTGGTACGACAACAAAAATCAGTCTCCTCCTCTTGATTTTGTCTTTTAACATGATCCAAAGTCCACTGAATATTAACAGCTTTTATTAGTATAGTCACTACAAAATGTGACATGAAACACAGCTTTTACTAAATAGTAAGTGAAGCACAGAACAGCTCAGTTGTCTTTAAAGGGTTTATTTAGATGTTTGAGACAAGTTAGCCGAGGTGCAGTTTGGACGTGGGCTAAATGTCAGATTAGTTGAAAGTTTGCACTTATAAACTGCACCAGGATCTGTTTCTGACAGCCTAATATTTTATCTTTGGTTGTGAGAAACAATTTCAGAGATTTGATTGGTATTAGTGGAGTCAAACTGAAAATAGTGAAAATACTACAAATACGGTAGTGAGGTGATCAGCAGATGTTCAGACAGTGGAAGCTGGAGCTGATCAGCATCTGCTGTCTCTCATTAGACTGTATTGCTTCACTGTGTCTGTGCTGTTGGTGTCTTTTGAACTTTTTTGATGGAGTGCCTCATTAATATTATGTCTTGCTGTGTGGTACCGACCGTCTAGGAAATGTCTGCTTCAATTTGCAAATCTAATATTTTATTAGTCTGGTCCTAATTAGCACTACTTAGGATGTCTGTGTCTCTGTGTTACACCTGGACAGTTTGTGCAGCTTGCTCCACCCCATTGTCAAGGTGGTGAATGATTTCGAATGTAGAATTTTGAAATTGATACCATAGGTGTGTCTGCTCGGAGGCTGAAGGGTAACACTGGCAGCAGCTCGTATTTTTTTATTTATTTTAGTATTTGAGATTGCTACTTTGTTTTGATCATTTACTCATTTCCCAGAATCTCTGATACACATTACTGGTAAGTATGCTTGGATGATATAAACCAAAATTATATGAACTAAAGAACACTTTGTAACGACTGCGCACACGCTGTAAACAATGTCACTTCTGCAAGATGACAGTTCTGATTTCTTCCATATTTTTGCTTCTTTTTGCACACAAAGAGGAAAAGATGAGTCGCTTCGTCCTCACACGTTCACTGTTTGACTTGTGTGTTTTTAGGGTCTACGTAAGCGTGAGCTGCTGCGGGAGGTCTTACCCGTCATCGGTGAAAACCTTCGGTTCCAGAGACTGTTCACTGAGTACCAGGATCAGCTGGAGTTGCTGCGCAACAAATAGCACGCGCTGCTACGCAGACAGAAACTGACACAAACACACACGGACTTAAAACAGTTCGGTTTGCCTCGGCTCAGCTCCGGTAAACTTCGACTGCTTTCTTCAACTTGAAACGCTGCTCTGGCTCAGACCTGAAAAACGCGACCTGGGTGTCTTCTGAGAACTTTAACATCAGCCGGTCCTCAGCTTTTTGAGCGCTGGGACTTTTCAGTGCTGTCGTTCACCAGACAGTTTTTTTTTTTCTTTCTGGTTTTCAGTTTCAATTCTCCTCTCCTGTCTTTATTCCTTCTAAATGTGATCTTTTTGACCTATGCACCTCCTGCCCTCCTAATCATGAACCTAGAAAAGGTAACTCAAGGGAGATGGTGATAGAAACGGTCGTCAGGTGCAGCATCAGCAGCTGTATGGAATCATTCTCAGAGGTCTTGGAGAGAGATCAGAGGTAAAATGTAAAGAGAAATGTAAATTAGAACAGATTTATAGGAGCAATATGCTTGCACCAAAGTGATGCCAATTTAGTGAGAAATAGTCTCTCACCTGCATCTGCCAGGTGAAGGAAATGAAGGGCATCCAGACTACGGATCAGCTGGGTTTTTACAGGTTGGTATTCCCGAGTGTACCGTTATCTTTAAAATCAGCAGTTCTCATACCAAAATGCGAAAAGGGTGGTAAAATGCAAGGCCATGACTGAAATGCAGGATTGTTGTCTGTGAAATAAAATTGGAAAATTGAAAAAAGAATTTGTGCACAAACATTAAGCAGAAATTTATGTAAGCACTAAACTAGGGCTATCTGTGAGTCTGCACCTTCGATTGGTGCATTCGCCATTCCTTGGTCCTCCCTCGACTGAATGAGCTTTTACATTCTGTAATCTCTCCACAGTGTAGCTCCATTCTTAGCTATTTAAAATAGATTTTGTTTGTAAAAGGATAATCCTTCACTTCTGCAGAGATGGGCTGGTGCATCTAGATGAAGGTGATTTTAAAAAAGTCATCGCCCTACAGAGAATAGGATCTGGTGCAACTGGGAAACAACGTCTGATGCTACGACTGATCATTAGGCTAAACCAGTATCACATCTCAGAATCTCTGGCTGCACTAAAATCATCGTAAACACAAATTCAGACAAAATAAAGTTCTTAAAAAATGAACGAGACACCAGATGGTTTAGGGCATTGCAGGAATCCCTGGTAGATGTGCAATAGTTGTACATCGGTACAAGCTCTTGGTGCTAGACATTGTTTGTAAACTGTTAGTGCCGAGTGTTACAGGTTGAGAGAAAGAATCAGCTTATGGAATCAAAATTTCTTCATTATTTTTTAACTGTTTTCTCAACACAAGACACGTTTTAGAGTGTTGAGAAAATGGTTCTGTTTTCAGGCCGGCCTTAGTCATTGCACGGTGTTATACGGTGGCTGCATGAATCATAATGCACAATATTAAATTAACCCAACAGTAGGCCTTTCAGACATGGGTAACATGGCTGACTTACCAGTCTGTTACAGTAATGGCACTCTGTCATTCGTAGGGCACTTTTACACTTTAACTGTGGCGTCAGACAGACTTACTGACAGCGGTGAAAAAATGCAAAGTGATGGGATGTGCAAGAAATTTGTCATAGTTGCAAAAGTCTTGACGCACATGTGGTAACAAGTATTTTTGGTATTATCTCCAAATCTAACCCACAGACCGTATAAAAGATGTATGCCGTTAAAGCTGCAGTCTAATATTGGCCACCAGAGGGCGATAAAGAGTTCTAGTCCTTTGGGAAAGCTTCCCTTATACTTGACCTCTGTAAAAACTTTGCTGGTGAGTTAAAGGTCTCAGTCAATCATTTCAGGTCTTCGTCAACATCAAGATTATTTTGTAAGTTTAGCTTATGATTTCACAGTTGTTTGGTTTTTGCTCGTCATACCCAGTTTCAAAACACCAAGATGGCAACAGCGAAAAAGCTTCTCTCGAATCTTCAAATTGTGACCACAGAAGAATGTTTTCATGTAGAAAACTGTAATAATGAAGCCACACGCTATCATACAAGTTCTGCTTTTTTTGTTTGTTTAGTTTGTTTTGTTTTCTGTCATGTGTAATCTGTCCAAACTTTGCAGTGATGAATTTTTCCTCTGTCCAGGCGAGCAACATTGCTGGCCCACTTCAGTCTAAAAGTGACCAGTGTGCGGGCTCAGAATGATGGAAATGGATAGAGGCTAATCACAGTTAAAGAATCTCTTAACTCGCATGTCCAGAGTAGCTGCAGGGTTTTATTTTTCTGAACTCCACCAAAAATGGTTCTGGATTTCTCAGATAATTATGTCTTATATTTGAAATCATGTGGACATTTCAGGAGACCAGACTCGGTGAAATGTTCTGTATATGTGTTTTTTTCCACTTGGTTTGTAAATAAGCTGAACTCAGAAACACAACCAGAGCCGATAAAGGCTCTGATTTCTCTCGATTTCTCTTCACATTTCTCTGCTGCTGTGCAAGAATCACTGCTTTCAATTCAGGATTAAGGAGGGAAAATTGTTTTCTGATATCCATTAACTTGACATTTGACCCAAAGGTCAAGAAATCCAGTGACACATTAATGAAGTTCATTTACCTTAATAGTACGTGTGTTTAGCCTTTTGTTAGTCTGCAGCAACATTAATGCACTCCTCTGCCTGCTCTGTGTGATCACACAGGAAGCTTGTTTAGTGTTATATTTCACTTCTGAGTGTGGTAAGCAGCACAGACGAATCCCTTTTACTTAACACCCCCCTTTTTATTTTTTCTTCTTTTTTTTTTATCTGTACAGAACTTCCTTCCTTATTTGTTTCATTTCTTTTTGTTGTTGTTTTTTCGGGGTTTTTTCGCTGTCAGTCATTTTTAAATGTTTCTACAAGACGTTTTGTTTGATTTGTTTTCAATTTGTATAAGAAAAAGAAAAAATAACCAGAGACAAGCTGAAGTTTTTGCTTTGGGAAAAAAAAGAGGAAAGATTAAACAAACGAGGAACAGTTGTGGCTTGTTAATTTCCTGTGTGGTATTGCTTCATTTTGTGTTCGTGTGTTACTGGCTCTCAAGTAATGGGTCCTGATTCTGATAATTCCCAACCAGATTTCAGCTAACGTTCCCCCACAGCTCGGAATCCCATCATCAACACCACTTTTTATGATAACATTTTTTTTTAAACTTGTTTGAAATTCACTTGGACCTTTTTTTTTTAACTTTTTTTTTTTTTAACCCATTTCCTCTCCTTCTTTATAGCAATTCTGGCCACTACTTTGTAAACACACAGCGCCTATTTATTTGTTGTATGTATTCATTATGCTACCATTATTTAAAAGTAATGTTAGCTAGCAATAACTTAAATATCGTTAGCTAACAGTAGCAGCGTAGCCATTCTGTCCATCAAGTTTGTTTCTTTTGTACCGTTTCCTTTAAATTCTTGAAACTATCAATATTTTCTTCTGTATCTCTGGCAGTTTATCCTCTAACAGTTAAATAATTCGTTTTTCATTAGACTGGCTCAACAGGTGGCTGTTTTGATGAACAAATAACATTTAAAAAATTTACAGCCTATGGCTGCTAACCAACATGTACAAATGTATATTTAGCTAACGCTTTTGTTTTTGTGATTGGTAGCTCACTACATGAGTCAAATAGCTGTACACAGTTTATCCACCAGAGTGCGCTGAAAGTTACCGTAATCCTACTAAACTTTATAGACATACAATCCTCTACATACAAGTGAAGCATAAACATACTTTCACAAGTTTGTCGCTTGATTACATGAGTGGAGCAATTTCCTGAGCGAGCTCAGAGCTGAGCAGAGGCGTCTTCCTCCCGCACACACCAGAGACGTTCTCTGTGGGGTTTGAACCTTTTTTTAAAGACCATACAGATTAAGTGCGGATGTTTAGATGAAAATCATTTTTACCGTTAAGATGGATGTTTGGGTTCTTAAAGTGCACTTCTGTACCTGGACAGTGATGAGTCTCCTGATTGGTGTGTTTTCTTATGGTAAGTTATCCACAAATGTTTCATGTTAAAAGTCAGATTTTGCATTTTAATGTTACTAACGTGTTTTCTGGACTGGAAGTGTTTGGCTTGTGAGGGATCCAAACTGAATTCGCTAAATTCCTGAAGAAAAATTTCAGGACTTTTTTTTTTTTCTGATCAAGGTCTTTTATTGATCCGTTCAGTTGTGTGTGTGTGTGTGTGTGTGTGTGTGTGTGTGTTTGTTTGAACTGTAGCTCTTGTTGACGTGTTTTTTTTTTTAAGGGAACACACTTTCTGATTGAAGTACAGCTTTTTTTATTTTTATTTTTATTTTTTTTATTTTATTGAATCATTTTAAAACAGAGTGTCAGAATTACGCGGGCATTTTTTTCACCTTTCTATCGGTGTAGAGAAGTTATAAACTATAATGCAAAAAGCATTTGTTCACATTTGGGGCGATCGTGGCTCAAGAGTTGAGAGTTCGCCTTGTAATCGGAAGGTTGCCGGTTCGAGCCCCGGCTTCAACAGTCTCGGTCATTGTGTCCTTGGGCAAGACACTTCACCCGCTGCCTACTGGTGGTGGTCAGAGGGCCCGGTGGCGCCAGTGTCCGGCAGCCTCGCCTCTGTCAGTGCACCCCAGGGTGGCTGTGGCTACAATGTAGCTTGCCATCACCAGTGTGTGAATGTGTGGATGACTGGATGTGTAAAGCGCTTTGGGGTCCTTAGGGACTAGTAAAGCGCTATATAAATACAGGCCATTTACCATTTACATACACATTACACACATACACATAAACACGATTGACATCGGATTCTTAATTCATGGATTTAATATGATATTGCCTTCTGGAAAGGTTTTCCATAAAGTTTAGGAATGTTTATGAGATTTTTTTTAACCATTCTTCCAAAAGCATATTTGTGAGGTCAGACACTGATATTGGGCAAGAAGGGCTGCCTCGCAGTCTCTGCTCACATTCATCCCAAAGGCGTCTAGCAGGTTGAAATCAGGACTGTGAAACACCAAACTCGCTCATCCATGTTGTTATTGACCTGTCATGTTGAAACAGGAAGGGGCCATCCCCAAACTGTTCCCACAAAGTTTATAGCATGAAATTGTTCATGCTCTTTACACTGCACAACACAGTCAGACAAGTTCTGTAATTTTAGTCAAATCATTTCCACTTTGTTATAACCACTTAGAGTCGACTGTGGAATATTTAGTAGTGAGGAAATGGATGTGTTGCACGGGTTGCATCCTATCACGGGACCATGCTGGAATTCACAGAGCTCCTGAAAGCAACCAGTTCTTTTACAAATGTTTGTAGAAGCAGTCTGTGTTTGATGTAGTACACCTGTGGCCATGCAAATGATTGGAACACCTGAATTCAGTGACTGGGTTAGGTTAGTGAATACTTTTGGCAATATAGTCTTTGTCTTTAGTGAATAAACATTGTCTCACTTTCCATTTCACACTTTACAAAAACATCCAGGGCACCAGAATCATTAAAATCTTTAATGATCTTTATTCTTTTTTCATTGACTTTCTCTGTTTCCCTGTTTCTTCGCGTCAGGAGTGACAGTTAGAGACTTTCAGCTGGAGATCTGCAAAGAAAACACACGGGTGTGTGTCACCACCCCTGCAGACTGTGACCCTCGCCCACCCTCATCCACACAGCGTGAGCACACATGTTTGCTTATTGTTTTTTATCATCTGATTTAAAAAATAAAAACATGAAGTAAAGCTGCCTGTTTCTAAAAGG